TTTTTTTTTTTTGGTGGTCCCAGGGATTGAACTCAGGACCTTGTGCTTGCCAGGCAAGTACTTAGTCTACTGAGCTATCTCCCCAGCTTTGTCTAGCATTTCTAAGACCTGATTCAATCCCCAGCAACACACACATACACTAGCTTGGATGAGATTGCTACAATGATACTATTTGGGGGTGGGGTACCAGGAATTGAACTCAGGACCTTGCACTTTCCAGGAGGGTGCTTTTGTCACTGAGCTATATCCCTGGCCTAAAGTTTCTACTTAAAGTAATCAAGGAGGGCTGGAGATACAGCTCAGCAGCACAAGTATACCTGCCTGGCAAGCACAAGGTCCTAAGTTTGACTCCCAGTACCAAAAAATAATCAAGAAACTGAGATTAGTTTGTTAAATCAGTGAACAAGTAAACACCTTAATAGATCTATTATAATAAGTTAGAGGTTAAAAAAAGTAAAAAGAAAAAAGAATAAAACAAGAGCATAGCTATAAGAAACTTTTTTTTTCTTTTTTCTGGTTTCTTGAAATGGTCTTACCATCTAGTTCAGACCAGCCTTGAACTCACTATATAACCTAGGCTAGACTTGCACTTGAGGCTGTCCTATCCAACCTCTTTGAGTGCAGGGATTACAGGCATGTACCACCACATCTGGCCAAAGACATTTTTTTCTATAGGTATATAAAGATTGGTATTAAATGTCTGGTGTGGTAGCCTACATAGCTGGGCTACATTGTGAGTGCCAGCCTGCATTACATAGTGAGACCCTGTCTCAAAAAATAAATTTACAAAACATGGAAAATGCAGTAAAGTATCCATGGTTGCAGGTGTATTTGATTTTTTAATGTAGTGTCTTCTAGATAATGGAAAATCAAAGGATAGTAATAAAGATCATTTCAGATTATATATTTTAAAGTTCTAAGTAAATTTCATATAAATAAAGGTATTAACATTTACAGCAAGGGAGATAACACAGTGGCTTATGCGCCTGCCTGGCAAACATAAGGTTTTGAGTTCAATCCCTGGTACCAAAAAAAAAAAAAAAATCTGTTATGTCATTGACTCTGAATGGGAATGGAGTGTAGGAAGAAAATGCCTTCCAGAGATGAGCATATCAGAAGTAGGAAGAAGCAAGACTCCAATTTTTACTTTTTAAAACTTTGGTTTTGGGGCTGGGGAGATGGCTCAGTGGAGTAAGCGCTTCCCTGGCAAGCGCAAGGGGCTGAGTTCAATCCCCGGTTCAAAATTTTGGTTTTTATGTCACACCCTCTGTTCTACCTTGAAAATCACTGCGTAAGTGCAACACTAAAAAGTGTTGAAAATGTCATTTGGGAAGAAATAATTCAAACTATGTGCATGAAGTTGGCCTCAAAGCTATGTAATATATGAAAAAGGTCTCTAGGGATATTACATTAATCCTTCCCTAAGAACCTTAACCCACTGTACCACAGTGACCAGAGGATCCATAGCACTGAATAATCTAACATTAACACTAGGCTACACAGTATCAAAATCTTCTGCATCTGCCCTTTGTAAAAGCATCACAACTGGGTATGGTGGCTCACACCTGTAATGTCAGCTACATGGGAAGCTCAGGAAGGAAGATCACAAATTCCAGGGCAGTCTGGGAAATTTGGCAAGATTCTATTTCCAAAAAGGAGTGAGGAGGTAGTGCAAGGGTAGTCATTGGCCTAGCCTGAACGCAGCTCTAGGTTCAATACCCAGTATTGGGAAGAAAAGAAAAATAAAAAGTATCACAGAAATCTAAAACTGATTCCCCACAATTAAGAACCAAAAGTATTATAGGCTGGGGAGATAGCTCAGTAGAACAGCCCAAGTTCAATCCCTAGTCCGCAAAAAAAAAAAAAAAAAAAAAAAAGTATAACCTGGGAGTGGTGGCACATAGCCTTCATCCCAAGTACTCTCGAAAGCAGAGGCATGAGAACCACAAATTTGTGCCCAGCCTGGGCAACTTAATGTCTTAATGAGACCCTGTCTCAAAATTTTTAAAAAAAGGAGCTGGAAATGTACTCCTTGGGCTCAATCCCCTCCCCTCCCCCCTACACAAATACTCAGTTTAATGGTGGATCTAGGCATCAGCTCTTCTAAATTCTAATCTAATGCTAATTACTACTTTGGAAGCCATTAATGCCTATTTTTAGTATTCAGGGTTTTCTCTAATGTGCATGTTTGCTCACTACAGCTTTTTAAAAAATGAAATAAAGCCAAGAAAATGTCCAAAGAGAAACAAATGAGACAAAAAACAAAAGGTACATTATTTACTTACATCCCAACTTTATTCCAAAAAAAAAAAAAAAAAAAAAAGCTTAAAACAGTAAAAAGGAAAATAAAGGTAGAAAAGAAAGATGGAACTAAAAGTATCATGGGCATATAAAATACATAAATATTTGCTGCAAGCGAGCCACAAATTGGCTCCAAATAGTCTAGCATTAGTATAAGGAGAAAAATATGATCAGTTGAATATTTAGTGTCTTTAAGGTAAAAACCAAACAACAGTTCAGGAAAAGTACAATTAGGTTCACAGAAAATTTCTCTCGTCCTAAATTGAACATTGTGAATTGTAATGATAAACAACTTTTAAAAAGTAACAAGTTTCATAGGGACTCATGAATTGCCAAAGTACAATCAAGAAGAAATGAGTTCAATCCCCAGTACTGCAAAAAAGAAAAAAAAAAAAAAAAATTAATTCTGCAGAGGTCAGCAAAATGTTAGCTATATAAAGGGAAAATCTAAAGACAGTATAATAAACTGGTAAGGATACTGTCCAGACTGTTTGGCCTGGAAAGAGACCTTCAGATACCACTGAAGAGTATGGTCTAAAGTATGTTTTTCCAGGGCTGGGGAGGTACCTCAGTGGAATAAGTGCTTGCCTGGCAAGTACAAGGTCCCGAGTTT